TTAAACCTCTCTATTTATTAAAACACACCAACCGCTATAACACGACAGCACGACATGTTTAAAAATAACTCAACAAAAGCAACAAACACTATCATATTCATCTACTGAGTGCGCTATCAGAAGCTACGCAGACGTGGAAAGAGTTCAAAGAAAACGCCCTGCTTCGTGTGCGAAGGTCCTGCGGAGCCTTCGCACACCAGCAGCGGTCACGGTTCGATGATCAAACACACAACAGCAACGACAAAAATGATGGACGTGGTGACCGGTCACAAAGACAGTGGATGAGAAGCTTAGAAGCTGCAGTTTGTGGAAGGAAATGATCGAAAGAGGAACAAAAAGGAATAACGTGGGATAGAGAGAATAAACTAGAAGCTGAGACGACTTCTGGGCAGTAATGTTCTTACTTGATAAACCGTTTATTATCTTCATAGCTAGAGAGCATGATAGGCAGGAAGAGAGAAACACAATTAGATTAGAGCGCATAACAGCTTGGGTTAGTCGGCATTTGAGTGAGATATCGTCAACTTTGATTCAGGGGAAATCACGGGAGGCAATGAAATCAAGGATCTAACAAGAACTGAGAAGTGTATATTTTGCTGTTGATGATTCAATTACATGAAGAACATTCGCTGTCTGTAGCTGAATATGCATTTGTGCTGCTTTGCTCGTGGGTGGTGTCGTGTGGGTAAAATTATCTGAGGTGCGTAGTAGAAGCTTACCCAGGCAAATCTGTATTATAGTAGCCGTCACAAACGCGATAATTACTGGTGTGGATTGCAGAACAGAGACAGGAGAGAGGAATGACAGAAGAAAAAGAAAGGAGAGGGTGTGCGTTAACTTTGGCTTCACATGCAGCGACCGTCGTCTGACTTCAACGTCAAACTTTGGCACGAAAAACAGCGACAACAGGAAACAAACGATCACAGAGGAAACGGTACAGTGCGTTTCAGTGCAAACGAGCTTAAAAGGAATCGTTTCTAACATCCGAGATCAAAACGCGCAACAATCTGAAGTTCAGTGAAAGCTTTCTGCTGTGGTTTCCTTAAACAGGGAGGAGTCCATCTCAAACGGACCTGGAATACTAAGTGAGGCGTTTTTGTGACTGTTCTCTCTGATTGCGGTTTTACCACAGAGCTGTGTTGTTGCACGCATTCATTAAGCAAAGATGAAGAATAACAAACACTGGACGGGGGGAGAAAAAGAAAGCAGCGAGCGCCGCTGCCGCACAGCGTGGTGGAGGTTGAAACAAACTAATATAATGTAAACAATGCAAAATGGCATGAGGCTGCAGGACTGTAACCAACAAGGAGGAAACAGCAACAAATATATATTTATATCAGTTTTCTTCATACAATGTGCAAAAACAACAGCAGTTGTAATTAGTGCTTTGGAAAACACTGAGCTGCACGCTGCGGTGACTCAGCAGCGGCTACAAGAGGGAAGGCTGAGTGTGGCGGTGTTGAGATGGTGGCAGATTTTTTTCCTTTTTAGGATTAGAAGCTGCCATCTCTCTCTCTCTATATATATTTATATAAATATGAAAAAGCTTTGACATTTTCCACTCTCAAACACACATGCTAGCTGCTCGGCTGCGCCCCGCCCTGCCAGCGCCGGCGCTGAGCGGTTACGCAGCATCCTTACAGTGATGCACGTCAGAGCAGCTCTGTGGCTACAGGTTTGCAGTAAAACACCAAAGCATGAAAATATGAGTCACAGAATATGTGCAGTCATCATCACAGATTATACACAACATGGTGATGCAAAAAAATTTCAGTGAACATATTAAAGTCTTAAATTGGGCCTAAAATAAATAAATAATAAAAAGAATTCATGAGGTGGAGAAAAAACAACAAGTTAACACTAAAAGAGGCTTTTGTGGTTGTTCCGGGGGAAGTGGCAGAACAGCACCGGTGTTAGATTGCTCATAAGTGGGAGGAGTGTGCGGGCGTCCTGCATGCGATGACGCTTCACTTACTTTATATTCTCCAGTCGGCTAGAGTCTGGTTTCAGGGTGGTGGAGTGCTTCACCATTTTGTACATTGTGATCACCAGGAAGATGAGATTGAGCTGTCAAAACAGAGTAATGGCAGTGTTAATACATGAAGATGTACGACTGAAGATTCAGCACGCACAGAAAAAAAACTGTTAATTTGCCCATAAGTATTAAAAGAGGAGAGCCTTCAACTCTGCATGTCCACAGACTAATCCAATAAACATCTATCGTTCCAGCTAGTCTCAGACGGGGCCGACTGGCGCCAAATTTAGTGTCATTCTATATCAATAAGAGCATGGAAATGCATTAAAATCCATCACTGTAAGGGAAAAAAAGAAAAGAGCCACACAGCACCATTCTGGGAATGTCAGAAGGGAATGAAAAGTAGCAGAAGAAACGAGAGCCTCTTGGTGTACAAAACAAATGCATATCATTTTATGCACATAGTGAAATATTATAAGGTATAAGCAGCTACAGAAGGCTTGAGGGAGCGCGGTGTATTTGTTCGATTCCTGTTTGTGGCCAGATGAAGAGAGAGAGGAGGAAGGGGAGACATGCGGAGGCTGTTGCTTGCTTGTTTTAATGTATTAAATCTTTAGAGAACCAGTGGCACATATCAGGTTGAGACAGGGATACTATGTGCTGTGTTTCTGAGCACATTTATTTGCTACCTTTAAAAAAAAATCAATACTGTGATTTAGAGACACAAAGGCTGCAAGTTCCAGCGAGGAGCCCGTCCAAATAATTTACCTCAAAAACATTTATTCTGCAGCAAACTAGCACCTGACACAGCATGTGCATGTACTCACTCAGACAAACCCAAGTGCATTTGTGCCGAAAGCCGGGCATGTATAAATAATGTCGAGGAATATCTTACGAAGGGAAATTGAGATGTGAGTCTCCAATAGAGCAAATAAGAGGATCAAACACCAGAAATTTATGTGTACACGGCGTCACAAAAAAAGCTCCATGCAAGTAAAACATTTGTAGGGACGAAAACCAAACGGTGCGTTTTGGTGTTAGCACGCCGTCTTTAGAGCACTGCAGCACTGAGAGAGACGCACTGCCGATGCGAGGGACCTTTGTGAGCTGGACTCAGACCACAGCCGTTCAGTGTCGCACAGGATTTCTCAGCGTTCTGCTGCACACACGCTGCTATCAAAAGACTACCTGTGGTCAATGCATCACCCCTCCACATGCAATCGACTCATGGAGCCACTCACAATAAGCCCGACTGCAAAAAAAGAGAAAAGAGCGAGAGAGAGAAAGAGGGAAAAATGCAAACCTTTCATATCACAGACGGCACCGAAACTATGTTTTGTTTCACCGTTATCAGCCATTATTCCTGTCTGCATGAGTCAGACGGTGGGTGTGGGTGTGGGGGAGGCGTGTGGGCGTGGGGGGACACGAGGACGAGGACTTTTGAAAAACCCTTTCACACAGCCTGGAGTGGTGACATGGATCCAATGAGACAGAGGAGAGGGACACAGTACTTTAAAGTAACCTAGCAGCATGGCACATGTTCCCACCCCCACCGACATGCTTTCGCAGCCCTTCCCGGGGGATCCCTCTTGCTAGAGCGGAGCTGTCTTGCCTCTATCCTTCACTCTGTCTCTGAATCATCACTGCAAGCCATGCAGAAGCACCTTGCCACACTGGGACCGAGGAGAAAGCTTTTTCTGAAGCGGACTGTGTGTGTACACACTGAACTCCAAGTGAACTGCCAGGGATAAAATATTAAAGGTGCAGATGGAGCCGTCCGGATGATAAGAACTGCTCGCGACGTGTCATGATCCAAAAGGCCTTGTGTCGAAGTCATCTCAAGCATGCTAATGGCTCCCCCCACCACTCATTACTTCCATGTTCCTCCTTTCATGGAGCTAATACCCCCTGTGCCCAGAAGCAGGGCAACCTCTGCCTAAGAACAAGGATCTAAATCTTCTCTCAGCTTTTGTTTTCAGTCAGTATTTGGGAAGCGTTTCATCCGGCAGCACAAACAACAGGAAAAATGAGGGGGAAAAGCACAAGGCTGAGAAAAAACAGAACAAAACATGACCACCCTAGGTCAAAACCGGTGTTACTTGGCACAAACATGGTCTGGGTGACAAGTGGGGATCCAGACATAAGCCAAAGCAGCACTGTTTTCTCTCCTTTTCTCCTGTTCATGTGCCTTTTCGCCTTCTAACTCTGTCTTTCATTGACAAGGACAAAGCCAATTTGTAGAGAAACCAGGGTCACGGATGGTGCAGACAAACCTTGCTCCTGCACGCTCCCCCGAGACGCCCCTTTCCACAGCGCTTTGTCTTTTTGAGTCAATTGTTGCACAGAATCAGAGGAGCGGTGTGCGAGGCCCGGTGCAGCGAAACCTCATTCCTGTCACATATTAGCTCCGCTACAATACATTAGCTCCTCACAGGGTCACGAGTCTATCTCTGCGGTCATCGCCGCCGGGATCCCGATCATCGTTTCCACCGCAGAAATATTTTTCATGCAAATCATTACGAGAGCAACACTCGATTGGAAAACAATGAGGGTCCAATTTAGTGAAGGAAACATATTCCGGTGTGGCTGACAGAGCATTTGCTGAGACAGGGAGAAATGTATGTTTGCTTTAATACGACGTTAGCTTTTCCTCAATTATAAGCTCACACATTCGAAGCAGGGAGGCGGAGAGGAGGAAAGAAAACAGACGAGAAAATCACGGAAAACAAGAAAAAGTCGTTTCAGCATTTACTCCATTTCAATCCAGCGCAGACCCTTTTCCAGTGACCGTTTCTTCCATTCCTAACCCACGCCTGTTTGTGAAAAAGCTGTGAAATGCAATCCAGTGTGCAGATTTGCCTTTTTCTGCAGCCAGTACAGCTACTGCATCTTTACTTTGAAAACTCGGAGCAGTCTGCCAATAGCGTGCAGGGACTCGATGGAGTTTGACACGGCCGACCCTTTCCTCTAGTATGTTTTCAGTGTCAGCTTGATGTTCAGCAGAGGTCACTGCATCTGTAGATACAGTACCAACCATTAGCTTGGATAATGAACACAGTACCGAACAAATACCGCCCATCCTCCCTGCGCAGCAGCGAGACGAGCCTGCAGAGCTTCCTTATCCCTCGGTGTGCACGAGGGCAAAGCAATACATGATGTGGGAAGCTGAGAGGATATATGTGAGGCACACCACCTGCTATTTCTTCTTTTTTTTCGTCCTGCGCAGGGAAGTAAGACTCCCGAAGGTCTTATTCTTCTGAGCCTCTCTGATGGAGCGAGAGATAATAATGTCATGACCAGTAAATAATTGCATGCCTCAATGGGACATATGTCAATATTATATGCTATATGTCCTTCACCCTTGGCGGACCCTGACCAAACAGAAGGGATGCTTTCGCTCTCCTTCTTCCTGACAAAGTCGTCCGCTATTTGCAGGCAGACAAATACAAAAGAGCTGTGAACATAAAACGGACCATTTCAGACAATTGTTAACATAATTTTTTCCCTTCATCGCATAACTTTGAAGGTCATCAGGTAATATCTGTGATATGAGACTTCCTGAAATGGTGTAAAAGTGAGGTTAAAGTACGCTATCGAGGCTGATCCTTGTCAGGCGGAGGGGAACGTCGGACGCCGCGTAATCTGTCTGTGGCGCAAAATTAACCTGTCATCACCGGGAAGGCTCGGAGCAAAAATCCTGCTGACTTTTCCCTTCAGTTCAACCATCCTGCTCCCTTTATCTTCCCCCTGCATCTCTTTCATCTCACCCTCTCGGTCCCTTCCTCACTCTGTCAGTATGAGTATTCAAAGAAAAGAAAACAGCTTACCATGATGATACAGGTGACAGGTCCTATAAAACTCCATATGAAGTGATTATCCACACTTAGCCAGCACCTGTGTCAGAAACACACAGATCAGCTCCAGGCAGGAAACACAA